TTGACAATTTGGGTCAACAAAAGATTCAGTGCCATGAAAGGCAGTAGAATGGAGTTCTTTTTAGGACGGATCCTTATCGATGCCCAAGACCAAATTGTGCCTTTATTTTCAGCGCCGGCTGGTGCACCTGTTAAATTACTCTATAATGTAATTGTCATGTAACTACCAATAAAAAAAATAATAAATAACAAAATCTTGAAAAAATTGAATTCATTCTCAAATTTTAATATTTGACCTTAATTAGTTGGGATTTCAACTCTCACCAATGATTTGAAAATTCTCTCATATTCCAAAAAAGAAAAAAATGTCTTGAAAAAGTTGTAACTATAGGCTATGGTATGGTTATATAAAAAAATTAATAACATCATATAAAAATAATATAAATATATATTTAATTTAATTATTAAGAATAATTAATAATTATAATTATTAATTAATAATAGATAAAAATAATTTTTATTTATTATTTAACAATTTGAAAATAACTTATAAATTGATGTTCCTTACATCTTAGCAATTATGTTGATAAAATTAGACAAATTTAATTTAATACCTTTAATATGACAAGATAAGGTTATGTTCGAAATTATTATATAAGATATGGATTTTGACTTTTTTCAAAGAAGTATTTGCAGAGATAAAGAAAAATTAAAAGATCCTAATATTATTATAAAAAAAGTAAAAATTAGGAGATCTTAACACTTTAAATATAAGAATTTTTGTTTTTATAATTGTTCAAGTATTTTAAATTTTTTTATTTATTAAGAGCACTTTATTTTTTATTATCAATTATAATATTTTAATCACCAAAATACCTTAAATTTTCTTGATCCTTATTATAAATGTAAGTATATTTAATTATAATAATTGAATATGTAAAATAGAATATGAGTTTCAATTTCATTGCAAGAGATTTTTCCTTCTCCAATTATATTATCATATAAGTTACGTCAAAAAGGTATTTTATAGTGTTTGTATTATACAATTTAGGTGTAGTCGAAGTACAAATATCATACTCAAATTATAGGGTGATGTTATTAGGATAATTTTTTTGTATAATTTTTACATATTATTAAATGAGTAGATGTATTTAATATCATGGATCCCACATAAATTAAAAGAACTAATTATTTTAATGACACGTCAAATTGTAAAAAAAAATGAAACAAAATAGTTGTTCCAATAGCATTTCTCCAAATTATATTACTCCCCCTGTTTCAAAAAAATGTTGTTTTAGGAAAGAAATTTTGTTTTAAATTATTTGATATTTTGAGAAAACTAATGTATTATTAATTTTTTTTTCAATTTTACCCAACTAATTATTAAATGCAGAGATATTATTACTTAAAAGATGAGGAATTTATTTAAATATAAATTTTACACATCATATTTATACAAAATTTTAACTATTTACCTTTCTATTCTAAATGGTAGAGATTTGTCAACCTTTTTAGGTAAAAAGGAAAATTATTTTTAATAAATATAAATAAATCTCAATTATTAAATAGTTAAAATTTTACACAAATATAATACATAAAATTTGTGTTTAAATGAAAATTTACTCTAAAATAGAGTAAATTTCAAAAAGGAAAATTTGGAATGTTGAGTCCTTTCTATCCCTTTAATTAAAGCCATTAATTAATTTTCTTAATTTGTGTACAATTACAATTTCCTAAAATGTTCACATAATATACTCGTTATCTAATTATTAAAATATTTTAAATATGATATTTAAAATATTAATACATCCAATTACAATTATATAAAA